ACTGGGGCGGACGAGTTTGGGCATCAAGGTTTGGTTTGTCGCCTGGGTGGGGGCCGTCAACTACGTCACTCAGCGAAAAACGAATACATTTGTCGGCTCTTCTCCAAGGCTTCAAACCCGGTTCTCAAGGAACCATCCGGCATTTCTGCGCATGATGGTAGGCGCCCGGACGGATGCACACTAATACCTTGGAGAGCCGGCAGATGTTTGGCGTGGAATGTTACGGACCCTGGCACTCTTGCCGAACGATATGTAAACCTGACAAGTAAAGAATGCGGTTTGGCCGCGGCCAGGGCAGCGGACGAGAAAATGAGAAAATATGGGAACGCCCTCCCCTCGATGGAATTCTTGCCAATATGTATCGAGGTTCTCGGCCCGATGGACCCCAATACCCTTAAATTTCTTAAGTAATTTCTTATGTGCAATTAACGACAAATCAAAGTGTTAATCCATTTGTTACTTGATGTTTGACGGTTCAGTGCCACTCATCATGTTTTGGTTTTAACATACATACATACATACATACATACATAAATACATACATACATACATACATACATAAATACATACATACATACATACATATATACATACATACATACATACATAACGAAACTTCGACGTAAAAATTTATTCGTTGTTTATTACATTAAAATTTTTAAATGGTTACAAATATATTATTATTAATTATTGTTATTTTTATTTATTTATTATTATTACTATTATTCTATTGTTATGAATATTATTTCACACCAGTCAAAAAAAAACTTTTTGAGAATTTAGTCCATTTGTTAAGAAGATTTTTTTATTATTACAACAAATAATTAAAAAACTATAATAATAATAATAATAATAACTATATAAATAATAATGATAATAATAATAATATTAAATATTTATGGCTTAAGAAATGACGTAAAAGGCATAATTTATTGTAGAAAAAAAGCCGAAAGATTTTTTTTGTAGGAAAATAAATTCCATATAACCACGTTAGATGGGATGAGGCAAAAAGTGCAAATAAAATGAAAATAGCAAATCCTCCAATAGCAAAAAAATTTTTTATAGATAATAATAATGATAATAAATAATAATAATAATAATAGTAATAATAATAACATCAGCAGCGTATGTCCGGTAAAGCCATCTAAGAAACGAAATTTTAAGGAATGGACAAAAAAAAAACTAGAAAAAAATTTCTTTTTAGTATTTATTTCTCTTTTATTATTGTCATTGTTGTTGTTGTTGTTGCTGCTGCTGCTGCTGTTGTTGTTGTTGTTGCTGCTGCTGCTGCTGCTGTTGTTGTTATTGTTGTTGTTGTTATTTTCAAAAAAAAATTTCTTTTAACCC